ATTAGGAGAATTTTAAATTATATTAAATTATTTTTGTTTAAAAAAAAAAAACTTTATTATAAAAAATTTATTATATATATAGTATTATACGTATACGTACGTACACGGGCATTAATACGTATATATAATCTTATTAACAAAATTTAATCCCATTTAATTTTAGGTTAGTTTTATGGCTTAGAGAAAGACTAAAATTTTGCAAGAAATCTTTTTTTTGTTAAACCCAAAAAGTAGCTTTATTAGTAAAAATATAACAATATTCGTGTATATACATATAGTGTACCAATAGAAATTCTCAATAAATTATAAAATATACAATATAATAAAATATATGTATTAAAAAAATTAAAAATTTTTAAAAAAAATCGTACCAAAATTTCATTCACAGAAGCGAGCTTATCAGATTTCGAGATTTATACTGATATTAACTTATGTTGGTAGATTATGTAATATCGGGTATCCTAATCAACAGCTCGGGTAACTTATTTATACAGGTTAGAGTACTTTCCAACTATGTAACGTGTCACAAAAAATTATATAAAAACCATTTCTAGCTTCGAAGGAACGTTATTAAAAAGAAATTCAAAAAGAAATCCAAAAACTGACAGTCTTAATTGGGAAGGCAAAACCAAATTTTATTACTATTAATAGCTATACTAGCCGTAATTACAAGCCTAAATTCCCGAAACGGTTAACTAATAAGGATGTCTGAAATATTACACGTTTTAGATATTATACGTAAGTTTAATCTTAAGGAACTTTAGATATGCCGTCTGACGTATAATAAGCTTAATATTAACTTTATACCTTGCATGTTAGAGTTAAATCGATAGATAAGTAGATGCAAATGTGGTTGGATTAAGTGAAAAATCGATAAATAAGTATGAAAAATATTAATTATATGGATTTAAGGGTTATAACGTATCTTAATAAAGGTAAGAATAACTGGGTATGTTTAAGATACTGTATAGAAGAATAAGACTTAATAAGACATCGTTAATGATATATAATTTACTTTAATTATTGAATCGATTGGCTGAATTGATTTGTGTGGTTGATTACGTTTTGATCAAAGTCTTTGTGTGATAAGATACCGATGCAGGTTAACCGGGGCCTGGTTTAGATTATGAAATCCATAAGTTTAAAAAATTTTTCAGTTATTTACTTTTTGTCATATGTTTTTATTGCAACCTTATAAACCTAATTTGTGTTAATATTATTAATTTTGTAAACTTTAATGATAAAATTTTCCACAGGCAAAAAAAAACTATTTTAATACATAGTAATGAAGATTTGTTTATTATAATAATTTTTGATAAACAAATAAATTCACCAATTGATACCTTTTTTGTCACATAATTCAAAGTATGTACTCGGTGATACAGGATGTGTTTGAGAACCTTTTGGTAACACGGAATTACATTACTTGAGAATAAACTATTAAATTGTACGTACATACGTACTGGATTTAAGTCCACAACGTCTTTCGAGAATCTTGTTAGTCCTTCAGTGCCCAATGAATAATAATAATTCCCACGTTGTTAAAAAGGGATACATTTCCGTGAAGGAGGATGGGTTAAGAGCATGGATTTGGTCAAAACGATGGATGTTACTCAGAGAACAAACCCTTACGTTTCATCGTAACGAGGTAGCCTTTTGAACTCATCTGACCTTTGTTCAAAAATTATTATACAGAAAATAACTCCACATTTTTTTGCTATTCTTTACCATTACAGAATACTTATCAAGCCGTTGCGTTGATTTTTCTTAAAGAGATTACTAGTGTTTCGCGGACGGAATTGAAACCTTACTGCTTCGAAATTCAAACTAAAGACAAAACCTATTATCTTTCTTGTAAAAATGACGAAGAACTATACTCATGGATGGATGAAATTTATGGGGTAAGCTACTTTAAAGGAATTCGAATGATTCCTTAAATTGTTTCGTTTATAAGGTGTTAAAAAAATTATTTATTTGTGTGAGAGTGAGTGAATTTATACTATGCAAAAATATAACACATCAACGTAATAATACTATTATATCAATAAACGTCATAATAGTATTTTATCAATATTAGGCAGATGTCTCCGTTTAAATTTCTGACTGACTATGATCAATCTGTATAATAACAATAACAATAATAATAATAATAATAATAATAATAATAATAATAATAATAATAATAATAATAATAATAATAATAATAATAATAA